GCCTCCAGGGGGAGGGGCCAGCACAGGGCTCTGCCTCCAGGGGAGGGGCCAGCACAGGGCTCTGCCTCCAGGGGGAGGGGCCAGCACAGGGCTCTACCTCCAGGAGGCGGGACCTGCACAGGGCTCTGCCTCCAGGAGGTGGGACCAGCACAGGGTTCTGCCTCCATGAGGTGGGGCCAGCACAGGGCTTTACCTCCAGGAGGCGGGGCCAGCACAGGGTTCTGCCTCCATGAGGCGGGGCCAGCACAGGGCTCTACCTCCAGGAGGCGGGACCAGCACAGGGCTCTACCTCCATGAGGAGGGGCCAGCACAGGGCTCTGCCTCCAGGAGATGGGACCAGCACAGGGTTCTGCCTCCATGAGGCGGGGCCAGCACAGGGCTTTACCTCCAGGAGGCGGGGCCAGCACAAGGCTCTACCTCCAGGAGGTGGGGCCAGCACAGGGCTCTGCCCTCAGGAGGCCAGGCCTCTGGGATTCCCACTAGGAGACTGGCTGCCCTTGCCATCTAGTTCACCCTGACTCTTGGCGACCCTACAGTACACCTGTGATCCATATGGAGTTTTTATAATGCGTGAGCTTCTTTTCGGGGAAATGTAGATCACCTGGCCTTTCTTTGAGGTGCCTCTTGGTGGACTCAGATCTCCAGCCTTTTAGTTAGCGGCCAAGTGTGTTCACCATTTGTAGCTCCCCCTACCACACACACATTCTGGAAAAGGGGCTGAAAAAATCTCTTTTGATCTTCCCTCCTCTCCAGCTCATCTCTTAACAACCGCAGGAGCTGTTTCATAAACCTCCTAGCCTGGTCAGCTCTCCCGGCTACTGGTCAGGGACAGGCATGGTATGCTCCCCAGTGTTCATTTCTTCCTGAATGTCAGCTGAGTGCCCACTGGGTGCCTCCCTCCCTTCCTAGGCAGTGCTGCCATCATGGGCTTCCATCTGGTGGGCTCCCCATACTGCCCTGTACCAGCGCAGCGAGTGGCCAGGGCTCCGTGGTCCAGTGTCCTGATGCTTGGCTCAGATCTGAGTTTCCTTAGAGGCCGACCGTCATCTCCCTGTCCTTCCTGGTTCATGCGTGTGTGTATGCGTGTGTGTGTGTGTGCGTGTGTGTGTGTGCGTGCGTGAATGCAGTAGTGATTCTGGCACCAGGCTCGGGGCAACCAAGCCAACGTTGGGACACAGATACTATACTACCCAGCCTTTTCGGGGTTTCACCCTGGCACTTCCATGTAGGACTGCGGGTGCCTCAAACCTATGGCTAGCTCTCTGGGTCCTGCCACCTTATAGAACCCACATTCAGCATTGTCCATTCAATCACCCATGTTCTTTCTTACCTACCGCAAGCCAGATAACGGGGCTGGAGGGCTGGGTATTTGTAGTTGGGACAGCGGGCACAGTCCTCCCATCACCCCTGGTCCATGTGGTTCTGATGCTAGGCTTGGGGCTGATGTCCTGACACCCTGCCTTCGAGCCTGAGGCGGCGGTGGTCGGCTCTCTTGACTGGCCCTCAGCTCTCCATGTTCCTGCAGACCCTGGGGTGTGGTGTGGTCAGGCCTGGAGCTAAAGGCCCTTCACTCCACCATCTGGGAAGCAGGTCAGCCCCCACGCCATCTAGGGATTAGAATTTGGACCCTGGCATTGAGTCTTGTACCCAGCCCCTTCTGAAATACCACAGGCCTCCTGAGCCTCCCCTCCCCCCGTGCTCATCGTCTTCAGGCCTTGGGGACAGCTAGCTGGTTCTGATGAATTTTGAGAGCCAGAACTGCCCACAGAGTATGGAGGTTGACCCAGCCCTTGAGGGGGCCGGGTTGGTCGGGGGCTGGGGCTGGAGGTCACTTTGAATGAATGTAGGGCTGACCAGCTACACCTCCTCCATCCGGAACGCTGGCTTCCTTCCTGCCTGGTGAGCGTGCCCCACAATGCACCACGTTGCCCCTGGTCCCCAGGGACCCCAGTCACCTGATCTCCAGGAGCTGCTCCTGTCTACACTGGGAATTACTCTGGGAATTACTCGGCTGGCTGTTCAGAACAAAGACGCCGGCCCCGCCCTGCTTCCCACCCCCTCCCCTGCCCATGCTCTGGGGAGCTGCCCCCAGGCTGCCCGCTTTACAGAGACAGCCTTAGTTTAGGGCCTCCTTGGATCTGGAGCCAGGGTGCTGCTAGGCCCCTTTCCCCGGCAGAGCCCCAGCCAGCTCAGGCAGAGAGGACAGGGACCATCAATCACCAGCCTGCCGTACTGGACTCGGCTGGGGGAGGGGCGGGGAGCACGGAGGGCAGCCGGGGGCTGCTGTGGGCCCTCTGCGCCCTGACAGCTCAGGAGACTTGTCCAAAGACACACTGTGGCCTGCCCCCTGCAGAGAGACCTCTGCTCTGAAGCCTGGAAGGTTCTGGGCAGCATTCCTTCATGGCGTGGGCACTGCTCCGACCTCTGGGAACCCGAGAGGCCCTGCCCGGCGTCTGTCTGCCCAGGACTGCCACCCGACCCGGCCAGCCCTCAGACGCCCGACTGAATCCCAGACCCTTGGGTCAGGGGGAGGAGAGGCCTTGTAGTCACCACTTGGGCAGGGGGAAGGAAGCATGTCTGTGTGGGCTGAGACTGTCCCCACCTGATACTGGGTGGCCGCCCTGGAATGGTGACACCATCAGATGTACTGGTTGTGAGTGCTCTGGTGGGCTGTCAGGAGGGCAGGATCCCCTCACTGCATGCTGGAGGGTGGTTCAGTGGGCTTCCTGGAGGCGTTGACAACGGCAGTGTGTCTCCAACCAGGACGGGAACAGCCGTAAGCTAGTGGAGGAGGGGCAAGGGTGCGTTCCAGGCCCAGGCCTAGGCCTGGCAGCGAGGGAACCTGAATGGAAGTCATTGTCACTGAGGGTGCCGTGCTGGGAAGGGGGGGTGCACCTGGAAGTCGACACTGAAGCCCAAGACCTGGGATGCCATGGGTCACAAGGAAGAGCAGGACACAGTCCATTCCCAGGGCTTTGGTGGTGCCAAGGTGTTCAGGGTATTTTGAGAACCTTATCTGTGTTCTGGAGTCCTGGTGTGGCGCTGAACTGCAAAGTCGGTTTGAACCACAAGAGCAGCAGTTCAAGCTTACTAGTTGCTCCTCGGAAACCCTGATATGGTACAGAACCGATTTGATGGCACTTAACAACAACATGTGGCTCAGTAGGGTAAGCACTCGACTTCAGGATCGGTTTGAACCGCAAGGTGGGCAGTTCAAACTCACCAGCCTCTCTTCAGAAACCCTATACAGGGTCGCTATGAGTCACAACTGACTCGATGACACTTAGCAACAACAGCCACCTTTGTTCTGATTTCATTCGGTGCTGTTGAGTTGGTTTTGACTCACAGCAACTCCACATCCAACAGACTAAAACCCTGCGTGGTCCTGGGGCAGCCTCAGTCCTTGTCCTGTGTGAGCCCATTGTTGGGGTCATTCTGTTAGTCCATCTTGTTGGCCTGGGGACGGGGGCTGGGAGGAGGAGCTTCCTCTTTTTTGCTGACCCTCCACTTTACCAAGCATGATGTCTTCCTAGGACTCGTCTCTTCTGATAACATGTCCAAAGTACTTGAGATGAATTCTCACCTTCCTCACATCTAAGGAGCATTTTGGCTGTACCTCTTACAAGAATTTCTTCATTCTCCTGACAGTCTGTGGTACTATCAATATTCTTCTCCAACACCAGAATTCCAATGTATTTCTTCTTCTAGGGTTTCCATTAATTATTCATCGTCCAACTCTCATATACATATGAGGCCGTTAGTTAAAAATCCCATGGCTTGATCAGGGGCACCTTCGTCCCCAAACTGACATCTTTGCTCTTGAATGAATACAGTTTAAAGAGGTCTTGTGCAGCAGACATGCTTAATGCAACATATGATTTGATTTCTTGACTGCTGCTTCCATGAATGTTGACTGTGTGTCTGAGCACAGTGAAAATGACGTCTTCAGTCTTTCCTTCCTCTAGCATGATGTTGCTGATTGGTCCAGTTGTGAGGATTTTTGTCTTCTTCATGTTGAGCTGTTGTCTTTGATTTTCATCAACAAGTGCTTCAAGTCCTCTTTGCTTCCAGTAGGCAAGGTTGTCTTACCTGCATATCACACGGTGTTAGT